ACCCTTGCGGGTCACACACACACTCAGGCCGACAAGCACTCAGACAGGCACGCAGACCAGCAGGCATGCACACACACACGGACTTAGAAATCACAACAGAATGCGGGAATCTCAGCGAGGCATACATTCCAATGGCAAAGCCCAGAAATCAGCAGTGTTCTCAGTCTGTGTTTTGGCGGGTCATTACGCTACCCCCCTCTCAAGAGCAAGGTCCCTTCGAGCGAGAAACTCATTCAGAGTCGGCACAAAATGCGTCGTAGGCGTATACCGGAAAAAGAGTTTCAGTATAACCGTGAGGAGTGAGTGTTGCTGAAAACTTAGCAGTCTGTCCGCCGGTACACCAGCAAGACCAATGACAAATCCCCCTTCGCTCTCCACCTTCCTCCTCCTCCTTCACTTTCCCATCCTCCTTCACTTCGCCAATCATATTCTTCTTCCAATAATAATAATAACAATGAGTGGATGAACCAGAATCAATATCCGAAGTTCCTTCTTACTGCTGACAGAACAACAGGTCCACCATAGCTATGGCTTCCCCCTTCTTCCTCCTCTCACATACTTAGGCTATGGTGGACTACTAAGGGCTCTGCCCTGTGCAAAGGACAACGCGAAGTAGCTATGCCGCTGCACTCCTGTCCAAAGGACAACACAAAGCAGCTATGCCGCTGCTCACTAAGCCTCAATGCCCGACTCTGCCTCGAGCTTCCTTGGTGTGGCACTACCCCAACTGGGGCCTTCCAGATGCAGCGCCCAACAAGGTGATGAAGATGGTGCCCACCAAACCCAGGTAGGTACCTGGCCACTCTCCTCCTTCGCCCCCTTCTTCCTCCTCCTCAGGCTGGGCTGATCGCCATGGCCAGGCTGAGCGCCCAGCTGCTCTCCTCCTCCCAGCAGTGCTCCCAAGTCCAGTGCTTGGATCCAGCAGTATGTCGCCAATCCTTGCACACCGCAAATGAGGAGGAGCTGCTTGCTCCTCCTGAAGATATAGCGGCCTACTGGCCTCTTGGGCGGT